CCTAGTGAGGCACTGGTCGGCTTTTTTGCCTTCCTTTAACTGTCAGTGAGTACAGTTAGTTCGCCGAGTGAGGTGAACGTGCCTAGTGAGGCACTTGAGGCACTGGTCGGCTTTTTTGCCTTCCTTTAACTGTCAGTGAGTACAGTTAGTTCGCCGAGTGATGTGAACCTGTTTTATTTCGCCTTTGTTAATTTTTTAACATAGGTACCTACCTAGTGTGGTAGAGTTCTTGTGCCTAGAGCAACACTAATTGGGTCTTTACCTAGAAGACCGACTGAAAATTCAGTTATGTCTTTGTTATATTGGTTTTTATAATTTAATACGGTCATACCCATTCCAAACTTTTAAAGTTTTTGGTTGTGTAAGGCCGGGGGTTTTGAATTGTTGCTTATATTTATCTGGCGTTGCAGATGAAACAATTCAGGAGCTTCGTGAAGACGAGTCTGAGGACGTGCTTCCGCCAGCTATTTTAACTTTGTTAGGTGAAGATGACATTATGGAAAAAGGTTTTTCCGATTCAATCCATCCGGACTTGGCTTCTCGCTGGACAAAATTGTTAAAATTAGGGTTGTCAGAAGACATAAAAACAAATTTAATTAAAAAGTATCTTCCACCGAAAAACTGCCCAGATTTGTTACCTCCAAAAATTAACCCGGAGGTAAAAGTTGCGGTGCAAGACGGTACATTTCGGAGAGACATACGATTGAGTCAACTTCAATCGCAGTTAAGTGCTGCGATTTCTGGTGTTGGTTGTGTTGTCACAAATTTAATTAAGGAAGGAAGCGGAGAACACATATCGTACATCGAAGTTTTGAACGATGTAGGACGTTTGCTGAGTGACATCTACCACACCGAGTCGATATCGCGTAGGGACCTGATCGCACTCAATTTAAATAAGGATTTACGGGATACCTTAAAAAACACTTGCATAACCGAGTGGTTATTTGGAAGTGAATTAGACAGTAGCATAAAAGCCGCAAAAGATTTGGAAAAATCTGCAAATCAATTAAAGGTACCTAAGAAGCGTACATTTTCTGGACCGTCTTTACCTTCGAAACAGGGAAACGCAAAACGTCCGTTGTTGCAGAAGAAGGGAGTGCAACAATTGAGACAAAGTTACCGAACTCCCTACACCCAAACCAGAGCACCAGCGTACACTCCCCTGAAGAGGCAGGAACGTTACAAACATTTCCAATCCAAACAAGGACAGAGGGATCGTTAGAGGTTAGTAGTCCTTGTGGAAGACTCAGACAGTTTGCGTTTAGATGGAGTGCGTTATGTATTGACAATAGGATAGTGTCCTATATCAAGGGATTTTATATTCCCTTTCATACAAAACCAAGTCAACTTGGTGTACCTGTAGAACCAAAATGGTCACAAAAAGAATCCAAAATTGTAAATAATATAATCCAAGATCTGTTGCTTAGGAGGGCTATCAGTATAGTTGAGCCGAGGGAAGGTCAATATATATCAAACATTTTTCTTGTACCTAAGCCAGATGGATCTAATCGATTGATTTTGAATTTAAAACATCTTAATAATTTTATTACTGTTGATCATTTTAAGATTGAGGGTTACACTACTGTTGCTCGATTAATTAGGCCAGATATCTTTATGTGCACTGTCGATCTAAAAGATGCTTATTATCTAATACCCATTCACCCCTGCCATAGAAAATATTTACGTTTTTGCTTCAATGGCAAGTTATACGAATGGAATTGTCTACCTTTCGGGCTGAGCTGTGCACCGTGGGTATTCACAAAAATTTTAAAACCCGTTGTAAGTCTGCTTAGAGAGAAAGGTTTACTTTCCGTTGTTTATCTAGATGATTTTCTCCTGTTAGGGAGAACACGATCCGAGTGTATTAGCAACGTAACGGAAACAGTAAAACTACTTGAATGTTTAGGTTTTATAGTGAATTACAAGAAAAGTAACCTTATACCAAACCAGACTTGCAAATATTTAGGTTTTGTGTATAATTCCAGAACAATGTCTTTATCCCTACCATCTGATAAACGCCTTAAATTGATTAAGCTTGCCAATCAATTCATTACTGTACAAGAATGTAAGATTCGAGAATTCTCAAAATTTATTGGATCTCTGGTGTCGGCAGCCCCAGCTATAAAATATGGATTCCTATATACAAAATTGTTTGAACAAAAAAAATATCGAGCTCTACGGCATTCTGGGGGAAACTATGAGGCTAAGATGACTCTAGATTCCTTCTTACATTCAGATATCTCTTGGTGGATCAGTAAACTGGCGGTTTCATGTAATCCTATTCGTTCTGACACTTTCGATATAGAATTGTTTACTGATGCATCGAAGACCGGTTGGGGAGCATACTGTAATGGTAACACCTCTTTTGGTTTTTGGTCCAATTCAGAGAAAGAAAATCACATTAATGAACTCGAGCTCTTAGCAGTCTTATTTGGGTTAAAATGTTTTGCTCGAGGTTGTCATAATTGCAATATTTTATGTCGGGTGGACAACACGACTGCCATTGGTACAATTAATCGTATGGGAAGTGTGAGGTTTCAAAACCTTAACAAGATTGCTCGACTCATTTGGGGTTGGTGTGAAGAACGAAATATTTACATTTTTGCATCTTACATATCGTCAAGCGAGAATTTTTTTGCGGATAAAGCTTCTCGACAGGAACACCAGGAGACAGAATGGTCTCTAGAAAATTCTGCTTTTCAAAAAGTGTTGAAAAGATTTGGTGTCCCAGATATAGATTTATTTGCTAGTCGGTTGAATAGAAAATGCAAGACATTCGTGTCTTGGAAAAGAGATCCAGAAGCTTTCAGGGTAGATGCCTTTACTCTAAATTGGAGCGTTTTTTCCTTTTATGCATTCCCTCCCTTTACTTTAATACTGAGGACTCTTCAAAAAATTATTAAAGATCAAGCAGAAGGGGTGGTTGTAGCCCCTTACTGGGTATCTCAGCCGTGGTACCCTGTGTTTTTATCGTTACTAACGGAAGAACCGTTAATACTTGAACCTTCTGACCGATTACTTTCTTTTAGCGGGATACCACATCCGATGGCAAAACACCTTTCCCTGGTGGTAGGGAAGTTATCCGGAAAGCTCTTCAACTCAAAAACATACCGGAAAACACAATAGAAATCTGCTTGGCTTCCATTACAGCTTCGACGCTTAAGCAATATAACAGTGGATTAAGACTGTGGTGGACATTTTGTAATACACGGTTAGTTAATCCGTTTTGTGTCACTATTCCAGCCTTGCTAGATTTTTTGACTTGCCAATTTAATATAGGTGTTTCGTTTGGTTCCTTGAATTCGTATAGAAGTGCAATTGCACAAATAGCAGGACCAGAAATTGCGTCTGATTTTCGTGTAAAGAGATTTTTTAAAGGTGTTTTTAGTCTCAGACCACCGAGGCCTAGATATGAAAATGTATGGGACCCGGACATAGCCTTGGGTTATGCAAGGGCTCTCAATAATAAAACTCTTTCTCTGCCATGTTTAACGAAAAAACTGGTACTGTTATTAGCTCTTGCTACAGGTCAAAGGATTCAAACTCTGTCCTTAATTAATATTGATAACATTGTTGTTCTTAATGACAAGGTTGAGATTAGAATCCCTAATAGGATAAAGACTTCAGGTGTAAATAAATTGCAACCATTATTAGTTTTGCCCTTTTATAAAACGGATCCAAACCTATGTGTGGCAGGGGTATTGTTAGAGTATCTGAAAAGGACCAAGGAAGATAGAGGTCAATGCATGTCTCTCTTTATCACCAATAAGAAGCCTCATCGTCGGGCTTCAACTCAGACTATAGGTAGATGGATAGGTCAAGCCTTAAAAGATTGTGGTTTAGATACATCCCAATTTAAACCGCAAAGCACGAGGCATGCATCGACTTCGAAAGCAGCCAGGTCCGGAGTAAGCTATGATACCATCAGACTTGCTGCTGGATGGTCATCAAAATCTAATACCTTTGCACGATTTTATAACAGGCCTGTGCAGGACAATACTGTTTTTGCTAGAGCGGTATTAAATATAGCTTAAAATTGTGTTACTGGAATTGTTCTATAAATGTTTTCTGTATTTTAGAGATAAAATCAGATATTGTTTTTCTTCGAAAACATCGTGTATTATAATAAAGTTGTTGCAAAATCTTTAAACATCTACAATTTTATTTACGAAACGAGGCCGAATATAATTACAAGATCAAACGAACTTACCTTAAGTGATGTTCGATCTTGATTATATGAAGGCCTCGTTGAAGTAAATAGTCCCATACCCACCCAAATTTATGCTGTTAAATCCCATTTACTTCCATGCAACAACTACTTTCAAAGAGACTGAGGCGTTGTTGGCTTGACAACGGGTAAACATGCGGAGCCTACTTGTTTCGCTTTAAAGTGTGGTTTTTCTAACGGAAAGCAGAGGTACTACAATTTTATTTACTTCAACGAGGCCTTCATATAATCAAGATCGAACATCACTTAAGGTAAGTTCGTTTGATCTTGAATTATTTGAAACATGTCAGAACAGCGACCGGGTTCGGTGTAAACGTTTCACTTTTATAAACAATGCGTTATTTAGAAATTTGCGTAAATCTCGATTTTCATAATCTATACCCCATTAAATACGATTACGGTTAAATTGGCAATTAGTTCCGTAACCCTTGCACTAAACTAATTAGGTTCAAATAGTGTCACGTGGAGTTCGATCTTTCCCAGATTTCGACAATAATGTGTGAAAAAGGAATATTCGTGCAAGAGAAACAATTACGCACGTAATTCTACTTTATGTAATGCACGGCAGACATAATGATCTACTTAGTTTTTCCTTTAAATTGGGAAATTTTTGACCCTGACATAATCTTTTTGTTCGCATGAATATTGCGTTGTACCTAATTATGTTTGGGTTAGAGGGGATGTAATAACTTTATTAAACTATACGTACGTATATAAGCGGCACGTTTCTCGACCTCTTGGTACAGTTCGTAAATCAACACAGACCTTTGCAATGTTTAAGTTGGTGGTGTTGTCGATTGTGATTGCGGTGGTCGCTGCCGCCCCGACACCGGGATACCTCCACGCCGCCCCGATCGCCTACATTCCGTCGGCCGTGAGCCATTCGTCCAGAATCGACTACCACAGCAAACCCATTGTAACGTACACTGCACCCTTGGTTACCTCGCACGTTGTAGCTGCTCCAATAATTAAGGACTACAGCTTGTTGGGAGGATATGGTTACGGATACGGACATGGGTTTGATCTTCATGGTGTCCACGGGTGGTAAAAGGATAACTCGCAAGTAAATTATTTGGTTAAACCCTAAAGATCGTGTATTTTTGTATTTTTGATGTAATTGGATTATATGGAAAAATTGTAGATCTGTTTTTAATGTTTCTTGAAATCCTTAGGAGAACATTCTCCAATTCTTTCCATTTTGCTACCGTGATCATGCAGTATTTTAATCGAAACTTGGGCATATGTACCTACATAAAACTATATGCACAGGTTCTATAGTGCTACTCGTATGCAAACAAGCGTGAAGTAATTATAAGGTTGTTTTGTTACACTGAATGCTCAACCAGCACAAACATAATCACCTCAGAATGTTGCACATTTAATGATCTTACATGTCAAAGGCCCTCTAAGTTCCAATGTGAGCTGCCTTGTACCTCAAACTTTTGAGTAACTTTAATTGAAGGTAATAAACTACGCATAATAATAATGCCATTGCCATAGCTGTAAATAGTACGAACTAAATGAATTGTCGTGTAAAACGATTTGTAAAATTGGGCGAAAAAGGAATCATAAACACTAAAGCACTTCAAAATTCCAGAGATAGATTGGATAATCGTTTTTTGCAAACTTTGTGATAAATGATTAAAGGGGAGGGGGGGGTTAGCTCTGAGGTGCACCACAAAAATATTTTAAAGTACTCCTTTCTCGAAAATAAATTACCATACAGTTTTTTTTTTAAATTGCAGCTGATAATTAAAAGTAACAAAATATACAATCCACACGAGGTGCGTCGCCTATCATTGTATTTCAGCACTTTCATGCTACGACAAAAAATGATAAATTCATTGTAAAACACTTCAATTAAAACAGAATTTTTTAACAACCTAACATCAACCCCAATTAGAGAAACGTGTTAATAATTTATTAATAGTGCAAGAAACTAAATACAGCACATACTTATAAATTTCCAACGGGCCATTATGATCTACAGGCCAGGTGGCAATCGCCACCCGCCCCCCCGGGCCAGTGCGCCCCTGGTTATACACTGCCTTTTTTTGAGCCCCGAAAAAAACATTCTCAGATCGACCCGGAAAAAAAATTTTCTTATAGAATGTGGCCTGTAGAATCCATAATTTCAAACAGTTCCAAGATTGGGCTACTAGTTCAAAAGTTACAGCCCATTGAATTTTTTTTCGAAATTGGTTTCTAGTCTATAACTTTTGATTGAGAAGTCTGATCGAAAAAGTACGAATTGATTTGGATTCTACGCACCCAAATTAATAAGAAAAAGTGTTTCCCGAGAAATTTTGGTGTAGTCGATTTTTGGTAAAAAAGGAAGGTTATACAATGTTGTGTCCCAACAAATTTATGTTATTTGTCATTGATCAAATCAAAGTAATAGGGAAAATTAATGAGATATTCAATTGTTATGTTTAACGTTCGTTATGTCAATATCGTAAATAAATTAGATCGATAAGAGAAAATACACTACTTGAATTTTTAAAACATAAATGTGACATATTGGAATCGCTACAATTTGATAAAGGAAGTAAAATGACTTCGAATCAATTTATTCCAAAACCAAAATATACGCCTATGCAACGTTCTGTAAATAATGCAGTGCTATCCCCGCAAGAATCGAACCCGAAGAAATGTCATTATTGTAATCAATCGCATTCTATATTTGCATGTGACAAATTTAACGAACTAACCCCGGAAAATGCTCTTCAGGAAGCCAGGCGGTTAAAACTTTGCACAAATTGCTTGCGCGAAGGTCACAGTACGATTAATTGTAGATCAATGGGGTGCAAACATTGTCATCGAAAGCACGATACACGTTTTCACGTTAGAAATCAAAAATTTGAATCATCTACATTAAATAATAATCCATCGACATCTAATGAAAGTAGTTGTAATCATGTCAGTAAAACACTAACGTCAAAGGCTTATACCTTTTTATCTACCGCGTGTTTGGAAATTTTTGATGTTAGCGGCAGAGTGCATAAATGTAGGGCATTATTAGATGCAGGAAGCCAGTCTAATTTCATTACACTCAATCTCGCAAACAAATTAAAACTTCCCGCTAACGACATCGATTGGAAAATTGTAGGTATTAATCAGCACGTGTCTTCTGCCAATAAAATAGTAAATGTTACTATCAAATCGATGTATAACTCATTCAAGGCTAATATGGATTGCTTAGCTATACCAAAAATTACAGACTGTTTACCGAGCTTCGATTTCGATAAAAATTCATTTCATATTCCATCGGGAATCAAATTAGCTGACAATAACTTCCACAAATCGTTGCCCATAGACGTACTACTCGGAGCAGAGATTTTTTGGACACTTTTATGCGTGGGACAAATAAAACTTCAAAATCAGCCGATCTTGCAAAAAACTCATTTAGGGTGGGTATTCGGAGGAAATGCCACATTTTCCAATTTATCAAATAATATTACAGATCGTAGTGTAAATCAATTAAACCTCAACGTGATCAATGATAATATCAAACGTTTTTGGGAGATAGAGGAAATCAATGATAACCTACGCCGATATTCAGCCGATGAATTAGAGTGCGAAAGTCATTTCTTAAATACATACACACGTAATAAGGATGGTAGATTCGTAGTCAGATTACCTTTTAAAAGTGATCCTAAAAAATTAGGTTCCTCGAATTTTCACGCAGAAAAGCGATTTTATTCTCTGGAAAAACGTTTTCATAAACATAATGACTTAAAAACTAGATATACTGAATTTATAAATGAGTACATTAAATTAGGGCATATGAGTTTAGTATCAAACATTGATTCGTGCAAAAATGACATTGCGTTCTATTTACCACACCATGCAGTAGTTAACGAGAACAAAGTAACAACTAAGTTACGAGTAGTGTTCGATGCAAGCGCGAAAACAAACACGGGTTTAAGCTTGAACACCCTACTGCACGTCGGTCCATCTCTTCAACAAGAATTATTCTTGATTTTAGTACGTTTTCGAACCTACCAGTATGTAGTATCCGCAGATATTTGTAAAATGTATCGCCAAATTGAAATACACCCCGATGATCGCAAATATCAGCAAATATTATGGCGGGAAGATTGCAACAATTCTTTGCAAACCTATCAATTAAACACCGTCACGTACGGTACAACCTCGGCACCATACCTCGCGATACGTTGCCTTAAACAATTAGGTTTAGAAGCTACTGAGATGCCGTGCGCTCAAAGAGCAATTCTGGAAGATTTTTACGTTGATGACTTGCTTACAGGCGCTGATACCATCGAAGAAATGTTACAATTACGAAACGAAATTGATCGCATATTAAGAAATGGATGCTTTCATTTAGCAAAATGGGCTTCCAACGATAAACGGTTGATCCCCGAATTCCAAACGAACGAATGTAATGACGTAAATTTCGATAGACAATGTGAAAGCAAAATTTTAGGGCTCTTATGGAATACCGAGAAAGATATTTTAAAATATTCAAATAATTATCAAGTAACGAATAATAAAGTAACAAAGAGAGCAATATTATCTAATATTTCCAAAATGTATGATCCTTTGGGATTAGTGGGTCCAATAATTGTTACCATTAAAATATTATTACAAACTTTATGGCAATTGCAAATCGGGTGGGATGAGTCAGTACCCTTGAACGTTTTTACTATTTGGCAACAATTTTGCAAAGATTTGCCAACGATCTCCACGTATTCAATACCGAGACGAGTAGTGGGATCACCTAGGTTCTCAACATTTGAGATTCATGGGTTTTGCGATGCTTCTCAAAGGGCATACGGCGCCTGCATTTATATTAAAACCGTCTCCAACAATTCTCTAATAAGTAGCCATTTATTATGCTCAAAATCGAAAGTTGCGCCTATAAAAACGATAAGCATCCCTAGGCTTGAACTATGCGCAGCGCTACTTCTAACACGTTTAATGAATAAAATTATCCCAGTTGTAAATATAAAACCCAATAAAATATCACTTTACTCTGATTCAACTATTGTGTTGGCATGGTTAAAAATTGAACCCTCGAAACTAAAAACCTTTGTTGCAAACCGCGTATCGATTATTCAAACAAATACTGATGCTAATATGTGGAATCACGTTTCGACTAACGAAAACCCGGCAGACATACTTTCACGTGGCACTCTTCCAAGCGAATTGGCGAATCTTGATATGTGGTGGCATGGGCCACAATTCCTAATGACGTTAAAGTATGAAACTCCAGTACAACCTAATACTAATGAAATATCAGAAATACCTGATTTAAAGTCAACGCAAACAAAATGTTTTTTAAGCAACACGACGTTAATGTTACCAGTCTTCGACAAAATTTCATCATTTAGACGTTTATGTCACATTATTGCATATTGTAAGAGATTTGCTCACAACGCAAATAATAAATCTTCGAAATTAGTAAGAAATTTAACATTTACAGAAAAACGAAATGCGGAAATATGCATAATTCGTATATTACAAAATCATGCCTTCCATGTTGAGATACAAAATTTAAAAAATAATAAGAGCATTTCAACAAAAAGTACAATTTTATCACTTAATCCCTTCCTAGACGAAAATGGTTTGTTAAGAGTGGGGGGACGATTGCGTCATTCGAGGTTATCATTCGACACCAAGCATCAAGTTATTTTGCCAAAACATAAATTAACAGCGGCTTTGATTCGCGATGAACATACTCGATTATTACATTCAGGACAATTAACTACTTTAAATTCCCTTAGACGGAGATATTGGCCTATTGCAGGTAGAGATCAAATCAAAAAAGTTTTGAGACAATGCATAAAATGCTATAAAGTAAATCCCATCGCATCCGAACAAATTATGGGTAATTTACCATTTGACCGCGTTTCTGCTGCTAGACCATTTATTCATTGTGGAGTGGACTATGCTGGTCCCTTATCGTTAAAAGAAGGCAGAGGTCGCGGAAAAAGGTTAATTAAAGGCTATATTTCGCTATTCATTTGCTTAGCCACCAAAGCGGTGCATCTAGAATTAGTTGGAGATATGACTACTGACTCGTTT